CCTACGTTTACCAGTGCCGTTCACAAAAACATTCGCACCACAATCGACTATGTTTATGCAAATACTAGTCAAATGCCAAAAATCACTAATTCGCAGATTCACCACCTTCCGTATGCTTGGACGGATCATAGTCTTCTGACTGTTGATCTATTGGCGTCAAAAACATCCTTTGGTCCTGGATCTTGGCGTTTCAATCCAGCTCTACTACTCAACAAGCATTTTCTCAGTTTATTGGATTGTACGATGACCACTTTTTTCTCTCAGATAAATGTGGATATGCTTCAACTTGCAATTCCAGATACGAATAATCCTCTACCTGCTTATTCAACTCAAGTGAATTTTGATCCAGAGCTGGCCACTCTGCGACAGAGAACATGGGAGGACTTCAAATTCATGATACGCAACTTAGCACAATCATATTCAAGCAATTCAAAAGTCAAATCCAAGCACCTTCTGATACAACTTCAAAATAGAAGAACACAAATCTTATCAGCTATGATGATGGATACTAGTGAGAACTCTACACCATCCTCGTTGAATGAACTATCTGAAATTGACAAGCAAATTGAATTGTTTACTGAGACGGAAGCCGCGCAATATTGCATGCGAACAGCCACTCGCTGGCATACACAAGGGGAACGAAGCAACAAGTATTTTTTTCAGGTCTTAAAAACTCGCCAAACAAAGCAAACAATCACATGTCTACAAAAATCCGATAGCAGTGCAATGGTTCACGATATTGAGGATATACTTCAAGAAGCCCATCACTTCTACTCCTCGCTGTATACACCGGATCCAATAGACTACGATGCAGCTACTCAATTGATTCACTCTATCCCTAGGGACAGTACTCTCTCTACCTTTGATCAAGAGTCACTCATGGAGCCGCCAACTATGGACGAATTAGTGGCTATTATCAAACATAGTCCTTTGTCTAAAAGCCCAGGACTAGATGGTCTGCCATTTGAGTTGTACAAATACCTTTGCCCTCGTTTCAAGGAGTTTTCATATCTTCTGTTGGCTATCATACAGGATGCCTTTCATGGATCTTTTTCGTCCTCCTGGCAGCATACAAGATTGATACTGCTATTCAAAAAAGGAGATCCTACTTTACTGAAGAATTGGCGACCTTTATCACTGATAAATGTAGATGCAAAGATTTTCACCAAGCTAATGGCCAATCGTCTCAATGAGCTGCTGCCCAAACTGATAAATTCATATCAAACTGGTTTTCTTCCTGGCCGACTAATATCAGATAATGGATGGATTAACCATATGCTCATGGCAACTCTTCGTGAAAACAAGTCTTTGGATCCTGAGGTTGCAGTTCTGTTGGATGCTGAGAAAGCCTATGATCGAATACACCCAGAATATCTGCGACTGGTCCTTCAACGATTTGGTTTTCCATCCGTCTTCATTGATAGCCTGACTCGATTGTTTTTTGAGACGAAAATCAAAATCTCTATAAATGGTTGGCTTGGCTCTCCTATTGTGCAAGCACGTGGGTTGCGTCAAGGTGACCCTCTCTCGCCTTTGCTGTTCAATTTAGCCTATGAGCCTTTATTGCGATATATTCTAGCTGACTCGAGCATCAAAGGCCTATCAACACCGGTCTTAGGCACAGCCGCTCGATATCAACCTAAGCCTCTGAATATGTCTGATCGTCTAGTATCGTCGCCTCCTATCAAATTACTTGCCTATGCTGATGATTTGGAAGTTTTTCTGTCCTCGCCTGCTGAATGGCCTCACCTTTTACGCATTCTTGATTTGTACTCCAAAGCCTCCAATGCGAAGACGAATGTGGCTAAAACTGTCATGGTCTCTCTAAGTGGACTTCCTTTTGCAGAATGGATATCGATTTGTAATTCGTTTGGCATCTCTTGGCATGATCAAACATCCGATACTGCCGCTACTTTGTTAGGCTATCCTCTCTACTCCAGTCCTGCTCAATATGACGTCTTTCTTGAGGACTTGCGCTTGAAAATTTTTCAACACACAGACAATCTAAGGAAAATGCATCTATCAGTACGTGGTATGGCTGTGGCTGTCAATGTGCTAATCCTCAGCCGTCTATGGCATATTATGCGAGTCATTCAATTACCCTCTCCTTGGATAGCATCCATCAAACGACTGGTGCGAGATTTAGCTATGCCTTTTTGGCCTAAACCCAGTTGGGCAGCGATATGCAAACCAAAAAAACAAGGTGGTCTCGGTTTAGTTGATCTAGAGGATCAGGCGTTGACACTTCAGATGATCTACATGAAAAGAATTTCTCAAGAGCCTGTTAGAAGTGACTTTCTTACCCCTTGGCTGCTTCGTTTTGTTCAAATCAATACCGGTCATGCCTCAATTTTGCCTATACTGGTAGCTCCTACCTTGTTCCATGCAGCCTTCAAGCGTTGTAAACCCATGATGCAGCTACTGAAACTCCTGGAGCGTTTGCCACCTTTGAAGCTATCTAGCTCTTGGCCTGCTCATTGGTTTTTGGACTTATCTTTGTCGATAGTGATACAGGCCACAATAGGCTCTGCACTACCAGTACCCACGGTCAAAAGGCCCTTCTTGATGTCAGATTTAGTCTGCTACAATTCTACCACCGGTATACTTGAGGCTCATCGATCCTTCATTAATTACAGACGTACATCTTTGATACGGATCTTTGATGCCCTTTTCTTGCCCTCTCCGTCTGACACTATCAGCTGCGTCTTGCCTACAGCAGTTCAAGCTAAATGTGCCTTTTTTCCTCCTAGCCCTATGGTGCCCTCTTCGTCACAATACCCAGATATGACCACTTATCTTCCATCGCTTGACCATTGGACGCTGCCTTCCGGCCGTCGACAACCCAAGATAGTTCTTGAATCTACTTCGGGTTCTGTTAGAAGATATTGGAGCGATCAACGCGACCCGGTTGAAATTGGTATCCCTTACCGTACACCATCCGCCCGACGCCTACCACCTTCACGATGGAAGCTCTTTTGGTCATTGGAAATGAACATGAAGACTTTCACTCCCTGGTGGCGACTTCTGCATGATAGCATTGCCAATGGAGGCAAGATCTATTCTTGGAAAACAACTACATTTACTTCGCCTGCTTGTAGTATTTGTGGTATGATAGAGGAAAGTAGCTATCATTTTTTTGTTGATTGCCCGGTTAAATGGTCATACTGGCAACAAGTATTGACTTCTGTCCAACTGGATCGTCAATTTGAATATCCTAGTGATCTATGGCTAGCACTTACTTCGCTGGCAGACGAAACCAACAAACTGCTGCCCTCAAAGACCTTAGAGATATTAGGAAATGGTTTGACTGTGCTCTGGAGGTACCACTACAAATGCATCTTTGACAAGGAGTTATGGCACCCATCAGCGCCATTCAATCTGTTTTTGACCGAACATCAGTTCTTCAATATGTAAATCAATTTTGATAAATAAAGTAATCACTTAATACAAAAAAAAAAAAAAAAAAAAAAAAAAAACATTGTTCATCGTGTCGTAAGCTGCCTTTTCGATCTCAAGACTACCAATTATCGTAGCATGCCTTTCTCTTCTATGCCATGCGTAACAAATGGCGCAAGAAAAGAGCTCATTTGATATTTGATATATACTAAAATGAATCTCTTTTCAACCAATTACAGTGTGCAACAAACTTTGAATGCAGATCTGAAGACAGTGCTCAAATTAAGTCGACTTTCTTAGCTTAGTAGACTCAGTTTCTTTTTCCTGGAAGTACCTAGACATGGTCTTATCTGATTCCGGTTGGATCAGACCTACATTGAGGTCATTCCAAAAATCTTCTGGATTTCATGCAGCGGCCAACATGTTTTAAACAAAAAGACGAACTGTTTTGATAGTCTGGTTGTCGAGTAATGGCCAATCAAAGAATGGTTCATTCAAGCTTTGTTTTGATTGTTTTTGTTCTAACCATCATATAGAATGTGTTGGAGATGAACTTTCAAAAGACATCTTGAGCTATCTGAGTGTTATCTGAGTGCTATCAAAGCATATACAAGTAAGAATATAAGTACTTTATAATGTAAATGCGAGAGAAATGGACAAAAGAGATACAGGATGTTTATATTTGGAGATTGAAATAGAATGATTTCAGTTCTTCCTCCCGCCGCATAAAGACGCAGCTTTATGGCCTTAGTGTAGTGACAAAAGCTGCAGAACTTTGTTTTTTGAGCCTTTCTGTATAAAGAACACGATAAACTTGCTGCTAAAGTAATGAGTAAACAGGCAAAAATGTTTACAGGGTTTTTCATCTATATCTTCTCAACTCTATAGTATAATTAGCAAACAAATACATTCATTGCGAACTAGAGCCTTTGGCACACATTTTGAGTGTCTATGCTTGTTGGCAGCTTCATTTTTTGTCTTGTAGCGTCAATAAGAAGCTCCAAGTAGCTGTCAGCTCGATAATCTTCGTGAGTAGTACCCTTTGGATCAGAGTGATTTTTGGCCATTTTTTACAAGTCGCTTTTTTTTTCCAAATCAACTTGTATGTTAGGTATTTGGAGCATTTATGTGAGTATAAGCAGGCATTTTACTCCTTCGTGTAGCAATATAACTCTGCTTATCTGTTTGTTCTTTTTATGCGTTCAATTTCATTATTGCATTAAGAGGAGTTGCATTTGCTGTGATAATAAATGAGATGATGCTTTCTGTATGATTTAATAAAATTATTAACATTTTGCGATGAAAAAGGCTAATTCATCAGATGTGTACCTTATGAAAAATACCTTATCTTGTTATCACAAGTCTTTTAAACTGTTTCTTTGATTGGCTTTTGTTGTTTAGTCGTAAAAAAAAACTATGCAAAAGTTCAGCTTGTTAAATATGCTCCTGAAAACGCTTGATCTGCGTATTCATTGCGTTATGTATATTTGCCTTTGAATTGTGTTTATTGATTGAGCCGCGTACGCCAAGAGTAATGGTCATAGTGAAGAGACGAGTGGAATTTAGATAAAAATTAATAACAAACTGATAGAGCATATAATAACTAAAGTAAAATAAATGATATAGAGCCTATAGGAGTGAATGGCATTGATCCTCTTCAATGGTCTGAAGAACATTGGGTCAGACTTTACGTATATATTTTTTTTATTCTGATAAAGCAATCAATCGATTTATGCTGCATCTAAAGGAAATGCAATGGGATAAAGAGCTCCTAATGAAGTGCGAGCAATACAGTCGTTGAAATAATCTTCTCTGAATGTCAATGGCTTGCCTTGATAAGTGCCCGTGATACTGACTGTAACAGGAATTTCAACATTTGAACACATGGCTGCGGTGCCTGAAGGGTCTAACACACCATTAACAAGATCTAATTTAGCACAAGCACCTATGGAGTTGGGATGAGTGCCTCCAAGAGGATTACAAGTCAACGTATGATAGCTTGTTTCTCCTGTAATAGAAAAAATGCTGATTTTTAAAGAAGTAAGCGGTCTTGATGCCAAGATCAACGGTAAACAGATAGCAACAATAGATAATTTAGCAAACGAAATCATGATTAATTTTGTTGTTAACCAATAAAATATAAGGGCTTTATATATCTGCTTTACTTTAGGTTACTTTGTGGCATAACAAGGTTGTGTATGAATTTATGCTGCGGCACAAACATTATTTCTCGATAGTTTGATATATATATATATTTTTTTTTTTTTGGTCTCTTTCTCCATTTTACTTTATGAGCAAAAAAACTTTAAGCGCGTTTTATATCCCTCAAGACTTGCTCTCTCAACTCTCTCCTGTAGGAGAAGATACAGAAGTTGTGCTGGAACAGCAACAAGAAGCACAAGATGTCACTGCACAAGCACTTGAAAGACTTCAGATCCAACAAGAACGTCTTGACAATCAAGAAAGCGAAAATAACTTGGGTTGTAATACCTGCGAGATTTCTTTTGTCGATCGCGATGAACAAAGACAGCACTTTGGATCAGACTGGCATCGTTACAATATTAAAAGAAAAGTAGTCTTGAACGTCAAGCCTGTCAGTTTCGAAGAATTTGAGACTCTATTAGCTGGTAAATACATAGGTAAAAAGACATGTGCATATCTCTAACTCTATTCTAGACTTGACTGAAAGTATTTCTGGCTCAGAAAGCGAAACAGATGAAGAAGAAGACAATAGCATTGATTCACTTGTCTATAAGCAAAAGCAAGTGCAAGAACTTGAGGCACAATTAGCTAATGATGCTAAACAAATCGTATCACCCATCATGAAGAAATACTTAGCATTAAATTGGTTCAAAACACCTGAAAAAGACTCGCCTCATTACGGTATTTATCGCCATTTGCTGAATGGAAAAACGCTTGCTTCTCTACAACAATCGAATTTCAAAGGCAAGAGATATTGGACTATTATTATGTTGGGTGGTGGACATTTCGCAGGTTGTGTTATTGATGTAGGTGCAAGTAACTCACAAATCAAATTGGTTGCACATCGCACTATTCATCGGTATACAACGCGTCGTAAACAAGGTGGATCTCAATCAACAAACGATAATGCAAAGGGAGCAGCCAACTCAGCAGGTGCTCAAATTCGTCGATACAATGAGCAAATGCTACAGCAAGAAGTAAGAGAAATTATAGGACAATGGCGCCAGTATATCACTTCAAGTGAAATGGTGGTGGTACATGCACCTAGTGGTAATCGCAAGCTATTGTTCAACTATGACGATGCAGTACTCGATACTGTCAAGACGAAATCAATTCCTTTTGCTACTAAAAGACCTACACTGAATGAACTGAAGCGTGTGTTTACTGAAATGACAACAGTTAAGATAATGCAGGTAGATGAACAAGCCGTTCAAGACTACAAGCAGAAATGGATTGAAAAAGAAGAAAAAGCCAAAAGACAATTAGAGAAATCAACTATGATCAACAAAAAGACTATAGCGCCTCAAAAGCCAACCATTGATCCTCATCTAGAGAAGCTATTGAGTTTAGTGCGACAAAATAAGACGACAGTAACATTGAACTATCTGGAAAAACACATGAATCTGCCTGTTTCTGGCCTTTTACCTACAGAATTAGCAGATGTAGGTGAAGACTTATATCATCATCCTACTCTATTACATATGGTTGCAAGCATGGGCAACGCTGCTGATTTGGTGAAAGCACTCTTAATTGGGTATGATGCTGATCCCACTATTGTCAGTGGTGCAGGCAAAACAGCGTATGAAGTGAGTAAGGACAAGGAGACACGCAATGCATTTAGACGCTGTATAAACGATTACCCTGATAAATGGGCATGGCTAGAAGAAGCGCGTGTGCCAAGTCCCCTCACAGAGAAACAAGAACAAGATCAAATAGCCAAAGAGAAAAAGAAACAGGCAAAAGAGCAAGAAAAGAAGAGATTAATTGAGCTTGAAAGGGCCAAATTAGAAGCTGAAAAAGAAGCAAAAGAGTCTCAGGCTCAATTAGAGAAAACACAGAAAGCAAGAGCCAAAAAGCACATGCTTCCCCTTGTACCAGATAATATGGTTAATACGGCGAATATGACACCTGAGGCACGCATGCGTCTAGAACGGGAGAAAAGAGCAAGAGCTGCAGAAGAACGAATGAAGCGATTTAAATAAAAGGTTTAACCCCCGACTTTTTCTTTTTTTTTTCAAGTATGAAATACGATCTAGGCAATCATCCTACCAAAGACACCATCCGAATGATGACATTATTACTAGAAAGGATCATTAAAGCGAATGATCTAGAATATGACGAAAAAAACACATCGTCTTGTTTCCATGCTCGTTCTATACCCAGTATATCTATCTATGCTTATCTAACGCGTATCCTGAAATACTGTCCTTGTGCAAACGAATGCTTTTTGGCAGTATTGGTCTATTTTGATCGCATCTCATTACGTATTGATTCATATAATATTCACCGCTTACTGATCTCTGGTGTGATGGTAGCTAGTAAACTCTATTCTGATGTATTTTTCACCAATACGAGATATGCTAAAGTAAGGAAACAATGCTTGAATTAGAGCTTACTCTTTTTTCTCTTAGGTAGGCGGATTACCAGTAGTCGAACTAAATATGCTTGAATTGGAATTTATTGCCATGAATCAGTTTTCATTATTTGTGTCTGTGGAGGAACTACAGCATTATGGGGATCAACTATTAAGTCAGTGGGTGATGGAAGGGGAAGAACTTACGCCGGCAGTGATAAGAAAGGCAACACATTCAATAGATGATGTCGTATGTAAGAAACCATCATAAGCTTATTTTATATAAAAACTAGACTTTTAACTTTTCTTTAATCGTTATGGTGGGTTCTTGAGGCATAACAGAAGTAACCCAGTTTTGGTCATTGAGTAAAGAAATATCACCTCTACCAAGTTTCTAATGGAGAGAGTGTAAGCATAGTATTGAGTTTTGCCTATCTTACCTGTCTAATCTTGCTGTAGTGTACTTCTTTGGATGTATATTCACGTACAAAATATGGTTTGCCATATTCATGATATAGTCTTGTATCATTGATTCTGAATAACACATCATCTACTCTTAGAAAGAATCGTTGTAATACTAAAAAGCAACTTGGCATGACTCTCTTAATTACTCATTAGACTTGTTATTGCTCTGTTACATACTTACTAATCGAACAGTCAAGATGGCAGTACCATTATCTGCTAACTCATCTTCATACAAGATATTTTCATCATAGAACAAAATAGGCTCTTGTTTCTTAAGATGCTCTATATCTACCATAGACTCTTCTTCATGTGTCTCGAATACAGTCATTGTAGTGCCTCTATATGAAGTAGAATATGTCCAGTCATAGGGCTTAACTACATCTTTGATATCTGTATGATTGGCAGAACTAAGGGCTTATCAGATCCTAATCTTGATTTATAGATTACCTTTTTCGAGTCCATTCGTCCGAATAAGCTACTTTAATCTTTTCGCTGCTGGTTGAGCTAGTGTCTACAAGTGCAAGTGCATCATAGGCATTGAATTCTATCTTTAAGTCATCATGCTGTACTGTAACGCGGTTATTGCCAAACACCATCTCTGGAGGAGGAAGGCCAAAGTCCTTTTGTATTCTATTATTATAAGCTCAAGTAGAACAAGATCCTCACTTACTTTTCCATTTCATTTGAGCTACAAATAGACGCTTTTTTACTAGTAATATGCCAGTTGTTTAAAGAAATGCCTTCAGTAAGGCCAGTTTTGGGTGTGCCTTCTTTAATAAAAACAGGTTGTGACATTGATAAAGAAAAGAATGAAAAAAAAATTGATGTGTTTTGTAGTTCTTACTAAATCGTTTGACACTCCGGCTAGATCCATGTTGATTATGGTATTGCATTGTATTATTGAACTAGATCCGGTTTGTATTTTGCATAAAAGGATTCTTTCTTATGGTAGTCATATCTATTTTCTAGTAACTCGTAAGACAAAGAACTCCATAGTAAAAAAAAAAAAAAAAAAAAAAAAAGCCTGAGTTGTTTGAATTTCTTACAGTAACTTTTGGTCAGAACAAGTGACTTTTCCTATGCTTTATTTATTTCCTTTTTCTTTTCATCTTTTGATTTTATTTTTCTTTTTAGCCTTTACTATGCAGATACCACCCTCAAGTTTTTCCTGTGCCCCTGGTAGTCTAGCTTCCATATTCTCGGGGATAATGCAAGATATCCAAAAATCCAAAGCTGAAGGAACTGGTCTTTCTTACCCTTCTGCTCCTGATATTTTTTTCTTATCAAACACTTCTCTTTCTTCTGGTCTTAATGTGATCATCAACGAAGATATCCATGAAAATGAGGCTGACTATATTCCTGCTGAAGCAAGTGGTTCTTCGGGAGAAGATAATGATATCATTTGTATTTCTAGTGACAGTGAAGAAGAGGAGGAAGAAGAAAAACAACACGATAGAGAACCACAAGTTATCTTTATTATTTCTGACGAGGAAGAAGAAATTGAGACTTATACAGCCTTGTCTGCTAAAAGAAAAAGAGTACGTATTAAAAAAAATGTTTTTTTACTTATCCTTTTATGTTAGAATGCCCGCTTAATACAAACGAAACAAGGTGGTGGATCTCAAGTAACTAGTTTAAAGTATATGCGTATTAACTTCATTTACTGATTCAATCTTTTTTTATTTTATTTTAGCATAAACGCTCTCGAGAGGACGAGAGATCAACTGGTTATGTAAGTAGCTCATAGACGCTACGTCAAATGGTTGGTCTAACTGATTTATTTAGAAATGTACCTTATGTAAGACCGAAGTTCTGAAACATTCAAAATCAAAACCTTTGAAAAGAATGGCCAAGATCAAAAAAGATGTCTATTGTGAAGGTTGTGCTCGGTAAGTATTGTACTAAGAAGGCAGGAATGCAGTATTCATGATTTACTAGATTGGTGACTTTAACAGACTCGGAAATGGAGAGAAGAGATATGATTGCCTGGTTTATTACCGGTAAGCTACCTCGATATGATATGCCACCAAATCTCACTTCGCTTGAGGTATATACAAGGTTAGTCAATCGTCGCTCTTACATGCGTAATCGATTCTTGGACAAAGTCAAGAATGGATCTCCTAGAATAGACGTGCACGATTTGACTGACATTTATATTTCCTCTGAGCAGAAATGTGTGATTAGTGGTCACCATTGCTATCTCCATAATAAGAGAATCAATCGAGTTCCTTATTGGGCTTTGACCTATGATCATATTGTGCCCTTGAAACAGTGGGCACATAATCCAAAAGCATGGTCAAAGTCAAACCTGCAAATCATGTGCTATGCCTTGAATAAGGTGAAGGGCCATTGCTCTGACGCCGAATTGAAGCGCTGGTACCGTGAACTTCTTAACTCTCAAATTATTATCCTTGATTGAGTAGGCTATTCTACACTTAAAGAAAAAAAAGAGAGAGATGTATACCGTTTGTATATATGAATAAACAATATCGTATGTAAAAAGATATCAAATGAACGGAGATCTATTCCATGCCAAAAGTCTAAAAAGCATTGTTAAGACCAACATTAAAACCGCATGTGGCAGTAGCAATATAATTGTTCAATAAGATTGGAAGTAGCGAGCACTAAGGAAACCCTAACTTTCCTCATACAGGCAGTGCTGAAGTAATAAACAAGAATCAAATATGTTCATAAACTACATGGAGGTATTTGTATTCAAATAATAATGATAATCATAATGATAGTGATAATCATAATTTTAATCATAGTCATAGTCATAATCATAATAACATATAATAACATATGATAATATATAATAAAAGAATATAATACAACAATGATGAAAAGAAGAAAAACAAGAAGGAAGAGGAAAAAGAGGAAAAAGAGGAAAAAGAGGAAAAAGAGGAAAAGGGATATACACGAATCTACTTAAATTCTGTGCGGAATGAGGGCTTCATGAAATTCTTTAAAGGACTTGACCTGTTTCTATCCTTGAACATATAATCAATGCTCGCCATTTTTTCCTGCAAAAAAAAAAGTGTAAACGATATTCTAGTTTATGTGTTGTCACTTGTATTATACCTTTGCAAACATCAAGCTCTCGACCATAGCAGGAATATTCACTGCATCTTCTACTTCTTCTATCAGCGAGAATTTCTTAATCATCATAGGCATATACAGCCCTTGTTCTTTAATTCTCATCATGTATAGCACACAACGAAATCCTGTGATTACAAACATTGAATACAAAGAAACATATATGTTATCAACATAGTATGCAATACGTACCTTCTACCAACAAGCCAAAAGAAAATGGGCTTTCAAGCCCCAAATCAATCTGCTTGTCCAAGCTGTCTTTCATCTCTTTCATTAGCTTGACATAGTCACTTTCCTTTTGATATTTGCTTGTTTCTCCGGGACGCTTCACTTCTACAAAGAAGGTGAACAGAGCCTTCTTCTTATGCTTCATGTAACCCAACTTCCAGTCAGGAAGGCTGTACTATGGAAACGATATCTCTTTTGCTGTGACCGGTTCAGTGCTGAGCTCAAGCGTCGTCGTCGTGAGACATGGAAGCAGTTCTGTGACAAGCTTTCTTCTGGTTCTTTCTCTGACACCACGGCCACCATCAAGCGGTTGCGTCGTAGTCGGACTACTTCTCCTAGGTTCTCTCACCCAGAAGGTCCTGCTGTGGCTGCTACGGTGATGTCCAGCCATCTTCGCTCTGTCTTTGCAGGTGATCACTTGCCCTCTGCGCGTCCGTCTGCTCCTCCTTTTCCCTCTAGTCTCTGTGTCTCTTTGCATACCGCTCGGTATCTGCAGTCGCAGTTTGGTCTTGCTCTGTCTTTTTCTCTTCCCTCTGGTGGCGCTGGTGCTAATGCTGGTGCTGATGTTGATGTGGATGATGGGTGTCCCTTTACGGTCGAGCTAGTGTCTGACACTATCAAGAAGAAGCTCTCTCGTCGTAAAGCCCCAGGTGTTGATCATCTGCGTACTGAGATGTTGTTGCCCATTGTGGATGACTTGTCTGCTACCACTCTCCTCCTCAATACCATCCACCCTATGCAACAAGATTTTAGAAGTTTAATAAAAGAAATGAAGTACTTACATAGCACAAACACTATACTTATGGGGATTTACCATGAAAACTTCATTCAGATATGGCAAAACATACTTCTGTATGAAGCTTGTTTGGATTTTATAGTTGCATGCATTTTTAAGGTGGAGGCAGCAGGTTTTAATCTTCTTGTTCAGCTCATTTGAGGGATCGAAGTCTTCTTCAACACGCTATCAAAAGATAGTTACATTTTCTTCGTTGCTACTTTACACTTACGTCTGATATGTTCTTACAGAACATAATAGCCTCTACTGAAGCTTTCTCCAACACGACTTCTTCATACATCAAATTGTACATCATCATCTTCGTATCTTCATCATCAAAGTGCTTCGTGATACACTTGTCTTCATCAATGTTGTTGATAGGGAAGATGTGTGATAGTGACCTTTATTGAAGAAAAAAAGTCAGTCTTTTAAGATATAACTGTCTTTTAGTTTTGAGTATTTACAGCAACTTTATATCACTCAAATTGTTTGACTTCTCAGCAATCTTGAGGTTCTTCTTTCGGTATTTGTTTAAAAGAGAAGTAACGTCAACATCTCCTAGCAGCAACTAAGTAGAAAACATGTGTTAGATCGTTTGCTTCAGCATAATAAAGTATTCCTTATTACTCTCGTATGTGGGGTCCATTCAATGATACCTACTCCTTGTAAGTAGTCAAGAGTTTTTCTTCTTTTTACATCTGAAGTAGAAAGAGTTGAGCTAGAGCTAACACTTTCTTCACCTACAAATTATTAATGTTTAGTAAAACTAACTTTGAATTTATTGAAGGAAGCATACTGTAAGTTCTTTTTAATTCATTTACATTAAAGTTGATTTCGATGTTTTCAACTTTTCAATATTTCTGACGCGAACGTATCTACGAGACATTTTGTTTGCAAGAAGAAAACGCGACGAATCTTGTTTCTATAACTGTACAAACGAATGAGTTTAAATATAAGCAATCTTATTTGTTCAAACTTTACATGTTGAATATTCTAAACATATGCCTTTTCTAAGCATTAAAACAGAGAGCGAAGTACGAGAAGCCTTTATTCGGGATCTAGCTTTGTCGTCATAAGGATTTAGGCAGAAATCCCTAGAAGAGAAAGAGCACCACAATCGTGTATCAGTTAACTGCTTGGTTAAAGCATCATAGACAGAGACAGTAGATGGTGTCACATCTTGTGTAATATATTGCCACAGGAAAGGTTGAAGTCTTACTGTTCGTCTGCGAAGAACGTCCATAAACAGCTGATGGCACAATCCTGGTAATGTCCCGTATTCATGGCAAACCTTCAGGCGTAACCAGTTGCTCTGTTCGTTAAAGAGGAAAAAGAGAGATGCTGGTACTTTTGAATATTGATGAAGCCAGTGGTTCTGAGGTACCTCTTGAAACATGTTAATCAGCGGAAAGTAAAGCAAGTTGGCTAGGGGCACATTATCAAGTTTGAAATCGATACCAAAGTGATCAAAGGCAGCATAAATACCATTGACAACTGAAGTGGGATGACAAAGGTCATGACGGCGAAGAGTTCTAGAGAAAAAGGGTAGCAATGTATTGTCAGCATCTGGAGACATGATACCAAAGTGTTCTGTCATAAGCACTCGGAGCTGAGGTGTTAGATTAGACGAACTAAACAGAGTAAAGACCCATCTCATCTGCAGCACCAAGTATTGTGTGATAGGGTTGAGAGCTTCTACATCACCTTGATTCTTAGGGAGACATAACTGGTCAAAAGAAACATAAGAAAACTTCTTTTGCCACACGTAAGCATAGATAATCGAACGAAGTTTATTCAGAAATCGCTTAGTAGGCGCAAACAACCGCAAGCAGTACCAAATTTTGGATAAAATCAAAGTGTTGGCAACGGTAGCTCTTCCTTGAAGCGAGAGGTAACGCTGAGAGTAACCATGAACCAGTGTACGCACTTATTCCAATAACATATCCTGGACACGATTCCGTTGAGAATTTGTGTATGGCATATAAAAGCCAAGGTATCGAAAAGCAGAAGGGGAATGATGGTGGTAGTATGTTTCGATATCGTGACTCAAAAGCAAAGATTCCGTCTTGTGCTTGTTAAATCTTGCATTTGATACAGCACTATACTTAGTCAAGTGATATTGGAGACGCATAAAGTCAGCGGCATCCTTGACAAACACACAGATATCATCAGTATATGCGATGCACTTGATCTGTTGAAACGTAGTGCTCATTGTCGGGACATATCCTTGGTATGTAGGGTTTCGCTGGATTCAAAGAATCAGCGGCTCCAAAGCGATGTTGAACAATAAAGGGGACAAAAGACCACGTTGCTGATGTACTGGATCCGTAAAGGATCCGTTGACATTGATTGCTACTGTGTTATCAAAGAACAAATTATAAATACTCTGTATAAATAAGGTAGGAAAGCCTAGGGACACAAGAGCTTGTTGAAGATATGTTGGTAATACTCGATCATAGGCTTTCTCCTGGTCGAGAAGCAAACCTACACCTTGATGATGTTCATATCTTGCTTGTTGTAGAACCAAGTGGACGTACATCCCATTTTGGTCAATAAAATGTCCTTGGATGAAGCCCTTTTGAAGCGGGTTGATAATTCGATTCATTATAGGAGCTAGACGTTGGGTAATGAGCCTTGTGAAAATTTTACCATCACAGTTGATCAATGAAACTGGTCTCCAATTCTTTAATTCGGACAAATCACCTTTCTTAGGTAGCAAGCGCACTTTGATTTCTTTTCATGACAGAGAAAAAAATTCCTTTTGTCATTGCATCATTGTATACCTAGAGTATCAGGGGCTTCAAACAAGGAAAGCCAAACAAGAGTTGAAGGTATGTATACCCTAGTCCATCACTACCTGCGCTACTTTGTTTTGGGCTACGCTTTGTCATTCTGACAATATCCTCCCAATCAAATTCCATTTGAAGCAGATTTGCTTCATCCTGATCAACCTTACTTGGAAAGTGAATGTTACCTAAACACTCTTGTATTTGATTCATAGGTACTGCATCAATCGAATATAAGTCTTTATAAGATCGTTGTACAATATTCTTCATTGTCGATTTGGTGGTATGTACAATTGTTGGTATTTCGGAATTGCTATCCTTGAAGCCAGACATATATTGTTGGGCTGTTCGACTCTGATGTATTTTTTTTCAAGTACCCAGCATTGCAGTGCGCACCACTTATACCAAGCTTTAAAGCATGTTAGCTTTTTTATTTCGTTATATATGTATAGCTATATTCTAATCAAAGTAATATTAAAAGCAAAGGCATTCAGGCAATGTTCAATAATAAAGAAGTATTATAATAATGTAGATTTTTATTCCTGCAGAAAAAAAAACCTTGTCAGTTATTATGTATCATTACAGTTTTTGCACTTGCCTTCATCTATGCATCGACGCGCTATTGTGGGTTGCATGCAGCGTAGTTGGCAAATATCAAAACGTGAGTACCGTCAGGGCCGGTGACCTCCCACACGCAGTGGCATTAAATCCAACAAGGTTAAAAGACATGAAGGAAGAGTAGTGAAAACAAAACTCCCAACGAGACACTCAGAAGAGTGAATTTGGTGTGAAGAGCTTTCAAAAGACCAAGTCCTCAACCCCATGCCTTTTCATTTAAGCGCCAATCCCTGGAAAGGAAACCTTGCTGCTATGCATTACTAGCAAGCCAGTGAAAGGACAGCAATAAGTTCTGACTACTAGAATATTGAAGAGAAAGAAATGCTTCTTTTGCTGCCGCTAACTATACATTGTGGTGATGTAATTCTTGTGACGACACCTATGAAATGCCCAATGAGATCCGTTGCTTTATCCCAAAACTGAATAAAGCATAAATATGACTCCCTTATTTTTCGTCCTTTTGGTAACCCTTTAATACAATCTCCAACCTCTTATTAAAGCAAAAAATTAAACGTCGCCACCTGATGTCGCCACCGCTTTTCTAATTTCTAGTAAAAATTTCCATCAGTCGTAGAGCCAAAAAAGTAGCCATTTTTTTCAATCGACTGTCGCCACCTTATTTCCAAAATAGGCTTTTTAGAAAAAAAAACTTACTTTACTTTCACTTGTACTGAACAATACCCTTAAAGAATTGAGTGATTTAGTTTCTGTAATGCTACAATTAAAAAATGCATATAATGTGCAGCAACTGTTATAACCCTTTGTCTAGATCCCGTATATATTACTGATCTGCCTGATTTGCATTTAAATATTAATGTTCGTATTATGTTTTTAGTTACTTTATGCAAACTCTTTCGAAAAATACACTCGGTTTTTCGAATTCTTTTTATTTAATTTAATCAAAGCAATTCGATCTGATCTTAGATTAAATGTAGAAAATCAATATGTACTTTTTCTTTTCTTTCATTCCAATTAAACTCAAGAAAAATGAGCTCAAACGAACTGCATTATAATAGTGATGACGATTTTTAGGAACCTATTTCTGTGGTTCTACGCAAGAGATGCAATGTTTTCAGTACGGACTCCAATGACATAGGGGGCTTTATGGAAGAACTTAAGCAACTAGAAAGAGCAATATCTTTGACTGTTACCTAGAAAATAAAGCTCAAAAATCTCGAAAATCTGACAGATAGATTCGATAACTGGGCCGACAAACAAAATATTTTTCTGATCCGCTCAAGAATGAAAAAAATAATAGACTAACTTTGACTTGCAAGTACAGTGACGGAGGTAAAAAGAAATTAGAGGTAACCCTGATGGAAAGAGATAAGGAACGAGCTTCAAGACTGACTGTCCCTTCATGATTCGAATTGCCTATAACTAGCATTACTGAAGTAAGAAAAAAACATCACTACTTTCAATGGAGTCCCAATCTATGACTACCGAGATATTACTAATTACCGCAATGAAATCAAAGAGACTGGGAAAGCAAGCAACAAAATAAATGATGCGAAAGTTCTTGTTGCTCAAATGGAAGACGCTATATATTGGTTCCAGTATCAAGTATCTCAGGAAGAAGATGGTACGCTCTTCATGTTTAAAAACATTTTTTCATACACAAAAACACAATAATTAACACGTCAGCGAAAATCTTGGCAGTAAAAGGGACAATATTAGAAGCAAAACGACCCATTTAAAGGCTGTAGCAATTGGCCGTTCCTATACACGCAACTTCAATGAAAACCGCTAATCTTGGCAGTAAAGACCAATTCCGCAAAAGTTTAGAATGTATTCTTTTAAGCTTCTTGTTGGACATTATTGGTAGCATCATTGAATATTATTGGGCTATATAAACGTTTCTTTTATTATTTATATTTATATATATGCATTACATAATATATTGTATACACTTCTATGGTTGGTGACATGAATCCAATCATACACTACTATGCTCATCACTAGAAGCATTCTTGAAAGGCGATCACAAAAGATAAAAACTGAAAAGAAATATATCCAATGCACACAGAAAAGGAACGGGAAGGAGAAGTATACCTGACATCGCCAGTGAAAAAAGAAGGAGGGACAACACAAGAAGGCGGTAAGTAATTTAGTATATACGAGAAACTTGTAGTCATATAAAAGAAAAAAGAATTAAAGTCGAATGTAAATAATAGAAGATTACTGCTTCATTGCTGAATTCATTCTGTTCAATAAATGCTTGGACAGGCCGGGTGATGTGCAAATAAATCATTCGACTTAATATTCTTTTTTTTATTCTGAGGGCTGGCTGAATTGATATTGAAATAAATAAAAAAAGATTTGGTAATTGAATTGATCGCCAAAGTAGAGATGATTTGTATGGAATAAAGAAAGGATTAATGGGTACACAAAGAAATTAGGTTTCTTATGCACCATTCGCAGAGTACCGGATAGAGAGGGTGGCTATAAAACACTCCCATCCACTCCAAAAGCAACCACTTTTGTATAAATATGCAGTTTCTTAATGAAGAGAAAGTGATTGTAGTCATTTTAGGAAAAAGAAAAAATAGTTTATTTACAAAAGATTTTCTATCAATTGACTACATTTCACACAATAAACAGGGTTCTTTATTATTCATCACATGAAGAAACCAGTCATTTATCAAGCACTTCTAAAGATAAATGATTTACTTGTGTTAAGAAAAAAAATTATAAGACAACATAAAAAGAATAGAGACACTATAAAGCTAATAGCAGCTATATCCTCAAAATACTTTTCTTTGAAGTGAACAGAGTGTTCGCCATTAATACATTTATGCATTTGGTATTTTTTTTTAGCGCTGCCCCTTCTCTAGACACAGTTATATGAATTATCCCCTCTCTATCTGGTACTCTATGAATTTCAGTCTGAACATGTCCGATAGGAGGTGGAAGCAAAACACTTAATGCCAATGATTTATTTGAAGTGGCTCCTGAACATGGTATGGTGTATGTTGTCTACTTTCAAGATGCCCTTGATAATTCAATGTTGTTACTGTGTGGAATGGTCTATACTCATGTTTGGTCCTGCCCTTTTTTTTAAACAAGGCGATTGCGTACATTAAACACTGTCAAATAAAAGTTTTGACGTTCCTTCATCTACCGCTTATTTTGATCCCTGTATTGATCATGATTACTGCATTCTACGCTTAAACTGGAAACTTTGTCTTGGCGGCTTCCATTACTTTTACAGCTTTAGCATTCTTCAATAAATTCAAACCCATTTTGGATGAAGTGAAGAGTTTTCCAAACTTTTGACTATTGAAAAAGCCAAGCACAATTATTTGGTTCAAATAAACATTTATTATATAGATACATTGATTATTTCTTTAACTCGACATAGTTTGCAGGGAACAAACCAGTTGACTTGCCATTGGTAGCAACACCTTGCCACCAATCCTCACTAACGAATTCGATATGGGTAATCACATCACCTTCAGCAAAAGAGATTTCATTGTCTTCTTCAGCATCATAATCGTAAAGGGCAATAGCAGTGTTACCTTGATCTTGAGCTTGAGGAGCAGCAACAGCCGGTGCGGGAGGGGCAGCAGGTGCAGCAGGGGGAGGAGGAGCAGGTGCCTCGACAGGAACATTTTCTTGTTCTTCAATGATTTGAACATAGTTGGCAGGGAAAAGACCTTGTTTCTTTCCATCTTCACTCACACCAAACCACCAGCCTTCGTCAACTTGATCGATTTGTGTAACAACTTCACCTTCAATAAGAGGCATTTCATTTGCTTCACCTATACCAATATAAGATTTTCATCTAATTCTATGGATTACTTACTAGCATCGTATTCAAACAAAACAACAGCAGAGACGCCTTGATGATGAGAGGCAGGAGCAGCAGCAGAAGCACCTGCGATGCTAGCGGCATGAATAGCACGATCGGCAGTCTAAAATAAGATGAGCTTTCATTTTCAGACAAGCCAAGAATCCCTTACCTCGTCTAATTGAGATTGCAAAGATGCTGCTTGTTTTTGACGCTCTTGTTCTTGTCTATCAGCTTCTTCCTGTTCTTGTCGTTGATGCTCTTCTTCAGCGAGGCGTTGTTCTTCAGCACGGCGTTGTTCTTCAGCACGGCGTTGTTCTTCAGCACGGCGTTGTTCTTCAGCATGACGTTGTTCTTCAGCATGACGTTGTTCTTCAGCATGACGTTGTTCTTCAGCATGACGTTCTTGTTCTTCTTGTTGTCTGCGTCGTTCTTCTTCTTGTTCAAATCGACGTCTCTCTTCTTGCTCACGTTGCTGTCTTTCGTATTCTTCTTCTTGTCTGCGTCGTTCTTCTTGTTCACGTTGTTGTCTATCGTGTTCTTCTTGTTGACGTTGTCTATCTTGTTCCAACAACCTATTTCTTTCCTCCTCTTCTTCATAAAGACGACTCTGTTCTTCTTCTCTTTGACGTGCTTCTTCTTGCTCGCGCATACGTCTTTCCTCGGCTTCTCTTCTTCTCAATGCCTCTTCTTCTTGTCTAGCTTGCAATTGACTATTGTCCTCTTGTTGTTGATATGATACTTGTCTTGCTCTTTCCTTTTCGCGTTCAACGACTTCCTTTTCATATCGTTCACGTTCAGCACGTACAGAACTGGCGCCTGTATCTTGATTTTGGGCTGCATTCCAACGTTGTTCCAGTTTTTTGGGAGCTGTTTGAACAGGTGTATAGTTGGTACCTACGGGCTTAGGAGCATTTTCCTTAGTCATGGATTCACGTTGCATAGCAGCAATGTCTGGAATTTCTGTCTTTTTGTACACAGAGCCCTATGATACTATGTTTTAATATCTGGATGACAAAAAAAAAAGCAGTATATAGCTTACCACGGGTGTAACTCGAGGCTGAGGTTTAGCAGCTTCCTTATGCACACTGTAATTGGCACCAGAGGATTCAGCAACACGCTTCATGATAAGATCTGGTTCTACATCAGCCTATTTACAAGTATCAGTTTATCTTGTTTTTATGTCTATTGCATTACCTCATCGCGGGCATTGATTTGAACATGAAAACTCTAAAAATGTTAAATTGTTGATAAGCAATGTGTTTTTACCTTGAAGAACTTGGACACGTCGCTGAGTTGAGAATTAAAGAAAGCCTTGCGAAGTTCAGGAACACCACTACCACACTAAAATAAATAAATAAAACAAGTAATAAATAGTTATTCTTACTTACCCAGCCCACAAATACAAACTTGGGAAGTTCTGTATTAGGATCAATCACCTTGGCAAAAGCAAACTGAACCTTTCCGTCCGAGAATTCATCGCACAACTCCTGCAGGCCACCGTCTAAGCCGAGAAAAACAAGATTTAATTTGTGCAC